CAAATGGAATGGACTCGCCCCACCTGTCACCCCTTAAATGGAATGGACTCGCCCCACTTGTCACCCCTTAAATAGAATGGACTCGCCCCACCTGTCACCCCTTAAATAGAATGGACTCTCTCAACCTAACACCCCTTAAGAATGGAATGGACTCGCCCCACAGTAAATAAAAATGACCGCGACCTGCCCTTCAGTCCTCAAATCGGTATTCCATAACCTTTAATCACGGTTTAAAAAGATGTGCAAAGTGCAATAATTAAGTGGCATTGTGTAGCTGTTATATGGTGAAATATGTTGAGGGGATTTAAATCGGTTGAAAAAAGTATTAGATTCATTCAGGGTTGGTTCAAACAAGTACGGTGAATTAAATTGGCGGACAGGTGGAAAATGAAAATTTTAATTCTGGACGTAAATTACTTTGAACGAAAAATCTAAAATTATTGGCAGTTCCAAAATTTACTTTATTCATTTTTGGTGATGTAATGCGCAGCATGATCTCATTACAGATACATGTGGAAATTTGAACTTGCAAAATTTTAAAAACTTTTGGGCATTTTTTTAAGCTTTAAATATTAAAAGCAAAATAATGCTTTTCAAAGAAGTTTCTGAACGTTCAGCAAGTGTCAATATTACTTTCACTTTGGGTCTTTTACATAAGAATGAAAACTCCAATGGATAGCTCATTTATTCGGTCACAACTGTTGTACACATGTGTCAGAAAATAAATTCAAATGAAAAAATACAAAATTGGCTTCTCCAAGGTAAATAATAACAAATATTGTGGAAGTTGACGGATTAGATAAACAATTAAAAAACAATTTTAGAAAAACTGCATTTTTACTTTCAAGGTTGAAATTTGATATTTACAAACACTGAATATTACATAGTGTCATTTGAAGCACTTTAATAGATACACCATTATATAAGACAATTAGAGAGAAACTAAAATGCTTTAAAATAGAATTGGATACATCCAAGTTTGACCCAAGGTATAATTTGATCAATAACTACTTTAAAGTTTTTAAAAAGTACGCTATTCATCTTTGTTCTCAATTTCAATATATACAAAAATATATGTAGTCCTAAAACACGTTGGAAATGACAAAAACAGCATTCACAATTTTTCACCATATACATTGTGTGTGTTTGCATCTCTCCAGTTCCAAAATATTCGCAGAAGGTTGTGGAGGTTTGTATCAGTCGCATCGGCCTAGGAAGGGGCAGTTCTGAAAAATGAAAATAACACTCATGATAAAATGCCTTGAAATTTTAACTAAGATCTGATAAACTGAAAATGGAAAGACTTGTGTTGATGTTGAAAATTATATTTATGCTGGATGAGCACCACTAAATTAAAAAGAAAAAAATGAAAAAAAGGGGTTTGTAGTTCAAGAATTGCGATTCTTCCATATTTCAGAACAGATTTGTTGTATGTTGTACATCAGATTCCAATGCACTATGAAAGGAAGGTAAAGAAATTTAACGTCCAATACTATTAGAAAGCGTTTTCTAAGTAAATGTTCAAGTGAATGTAGCAATCCCAGCAAGGAACAGAGTATTACAGCACCGATTAAGACATCCGACTAGAAGGCATAATCTGACGTGGACAGTAAATTTTACTTACTTTGTGTGAAAAACTAGGTTACTATGAAAATAAAAACCCTATGGATATTAAGAATTTTGCATGATATTGAAAATCTTATTGAAGTTTTCCATTGCTATGTGCTTCAATTGCAAACGAATTTTTCTAGAAATTAAACGAAATACAAAAGTTGATAATACAAACATTGCTACACTTTGTACAAATACTCAAGAAAACACAAATTAATAAACAATAAAAATAAATTACAAAACAAATTTGTTCAGGCAGCAAATTTACGTACAGTGAGTCGGTGGTATTAAAGTGACAGTAAGAGGGCACTAAAAAGTAATGTCAAAAATAATCATTTCATTTAGACGTCTACTGGCACCGCGATCCTCTAAATAACATCTTTTAAGAGATTATCAACGTGCATATATATTACTCTTCCCGTCTATCATATACCAGTAGTGGTCCTTAGGACGAATATTGACAGATACAGATACATGGTAATTAAAACTCGTTAAAACATGAATAAGATGTAAGAAAAAATCTTGGTGCAAATAACACCTTAATTACAAGTATAGGTGAATTGTATTTCCAATAATTATTCGAATTAAAAGTTTCTTGCAGATATTTATCACAACAGGAGTAAAGAATGTAGAATTATTTTGACCAAAGCCGCACATACAGCATTATCACATTATGCACATAAGACGTACATGTAACTCCTTCTAAATTTCATTGTGTAGAACAAATGTTACTCACAAGACGTTCTCATATTTGCTTCAGCGCCTCTGCGACTTCACCACACCATACCTGCGTCCTCTTCTTACAGGAACAAATGTCATTCACAAGACATATTTGCTTCAACGCTGAATGAAGTATTCGGCTGTGCGACCTCACCACACCTTTCCTGCGTCGTCTTCTTACAGGATCTAACAGTCAAGTGACTAGTCAAGAACATAGTTCACTGAGCAACTTATTGTTATGTAAATGACAACAGGTATGTCGCATTTTGATTGGAGGTTACGGTAGACTTCATTCTAACAATAAAAGGCGAACCTTTATGTTCTTCTGGATCAATTATAAAATCATTTTTGAGAGCTTTAGAATGATCGAGATTATTCAATAAATCATTTATAAATGCCTTACATCCTTGTAGAATGCATTCGAAGACGTGTTTCTTTTGGCCGATTCACATTACGTTCTGCTTTACCGTGTTTCTTTTGGCTTGTTCGCATGTTATTCAATCGTTTTTTCGGCGACCTTATTTTAAGATTGGCTAGGGGACTTGCCGATACAGGGCTTCGTGTGATAAGCTAGTTATTTTCATACCATTTGGTGCGCTGTATTCCCACTTGCAAAATGATGAAGTGGACGTATGCCCTCCGCTTAATGGAAAAATTTACTTTTACAAACTGGATAAACCGTGTTTAAAAGCAAGTATATTGGTCTGCGCGTTTCTTTGTTTTTAATCCATAATACAATTTTTAAAGTCGAGAATTATTTGTCCAAGTGGAACTTAACTAACAATAGTCTAGCAAACTATAATTACTATAGATAATTACTAGGTTTATCTGTTTTCACATAAAAAACGAAAATGGACTAAATTTTAAACCTAAGGTTATGTGAAAAAATGAATAGAGGTTAAGGATAAAATGTGTCAGTAAAATAAACTCACATCTCGTAATACCCCTAATTTTTGTTAGTTTTAATGACGTGCGAATATTATCCGAAGAAGTTATTATTAAAATTTCCATTACTAAAACCTTCGTTACTGAATACGAAAATTCCCCAAAGCAACGTCACCAGATAGTGGGATAAAAAGTAAAATTCGCGGATATATCATTATTTTTTTACTTTTCTGTTTTCTTCAAATGGACCTTTACGGGGGCGGATCCAGGATAATTTAAAGGGGGGGGGGGTCTTTTGTACACACGCATACACAAACACTTGTTTAAACATTTTCTAAATATATATCTACATGTAGATGCAGTGCTGTCTTGCAATTAATGATTTATCTATTTACTTTTTTTTTTGTTTTTTTTTGTGAGCTGTAAAAAGGCCATAAAGTCATGTATTTATCATCTCACTTGACAAAAGGAAATTAAGCAGGACCGACACTTAAATAAAATAAAAAAGCACCATTGATCTCTTCTAAATTACCAAAATATACATTGTAAAATGTGGATTATTGTTGCACATCTAGATGAAAACACTTTTTTCAGGCTATATGCTTTATATTATTATTATCATATTATGAATATTATTTGTAATTTTTTGTATTGTGCAGTCTAGGGTCTAATGTACAATAATATTCTTGATGTTGATCACACATTTGAAGGGTAAGTGGATGTATTTTGCATGCAGGTGCAGGCTATAATGTACATAAATGCTCACTTAGATTTATTTTAAGTACGTAAGTAACATTAGCAATTAAAAGTACTAGTCATTTTATGAATACAAGTAACATTAGCAATTAAAAATAATAAAATATAAAAAAAATTTAATAAATTTAGTAAAAGCTAGGAACCATCAAACAATTCATGGGTCCCAGATAAAAGATAATTAAGTAAAAAATATTAAAATGTAAACAATAAATTTTCATAAAAGTTGCATTGCAGAAGGCTTAAGCTGAAGTTTCAACTTTTTTGCTCTCAAGTATAAGAAAACAAGCACATATTAGTACATATGGAGATTGTGATTTAAAAATAAGGATGCTGGCATGCATGGGTTGGAAAATAATCACAGAGTGCAATGTCACTTTTCCCACTCTGTTGGTAAGGAATGGGTACGATGTGTCGAAACCACATGCACCATCCCATTTATCTTATTGTATTCATTGTGCGTTTCAATAAGATTTTACATGCATTGTATCCTAGAAAGTGTCCATTACCAGTCAGCTACAGCAATTCTCTGTTTGAGATATTACTGGAAAGTTTAAGGTTTGTTGCACTCCTATTATGATGTTTTAAATAAATTTTGTTTAAGTCTGTTATCAAAAAATGCAAAATCCTTTTTAAAACCTCATATAAGTCTGGGATGATGTTGTTCAATAATCTGGTGGAGGTATATATATCTGTCGTCCTATCTTATAGGCTGGTTGATGTCTGTTGTTCTGTTGGTATTTGGAGCCTCTGTCATATCTTTCTGTAGAGCTCTGGTATCCCTGGTTGTCTCTGCCAATAGCAGTTGGATTACTAATGTATCTGTCTCCTCTTAGCACATCTGTGTTCTGGGCACAGACATAGCCTAAATGGGATGTTTTACTCAGTCTGGGTGCCAAATTGGATTCCAAATATTGGTTTTTCCTTTTAAAAAAAGTCAATTCAGAAAATAAAACACTTTTAAGAGATGTTCTCTCTGCAAAACCCATTATCTTTTACATTGTAAGCAACCAAAACCAATTATGCACTAAAAGTATGCCAGTATATTTCTTGGCAGATCCTGATGGACATAGAATGTACAATAGAACTTCTTTCTACAAAACTTTCACTAACTGCAACAAACAATAAACCAGACATTGTCA